CAGCCTTTGCAACTGCAGAATAATTGTGTCAACATTCAAAAAGAAAATTTGGTGTATAAAAACAGAACCAAATCAGTTCTTATTTTTATGTCTAAAAACACATAAAAACACTTAGTAACATTTTTTTAACTCAGTATATCATGGGTCATGCATCAAAGGGTTAATACCTGTAATGTTTGGAAATGTTTTTTCATCTAAACCAAAATCAAGCAAGATGTAAGATAATACATCTTAAATGTATTAATAAGGAAAGCAGTGAATTAAAACAACAAACAAACAAAACACGTGTACAATAAATGGGTATTTCTATAGAAAGGTACTTGACTAATTATCTTTTTTTATTTGGGTCCCATAAGTAGAGGAATTGAACAGTTCGTCACGTCCTCCGCGCTTGCTGAGAAAGAATATCATTAATATTTTGCAAAAGAGAAGGAATGCAGAGATTGGTGAAAGATGATATAAAGCGTTCTGGGAAATTGAACAAAGAATGCAGAATCGAAAAAGAAAGGTAGAAGTCAGACAGTGAGAAAAAATGAGAGAGAGGGTGAAAGAGAGAGCAAGAGAAAGAGAGAGAGAAAGAACAAAAGACAGAGCGAAGGAACAGTCACTTCCTACATAATAAAGCAGCAGTGTGGCCAGCTCATACATCTTATCTGTCAATTAGAGGAGAACATGGGAGAAAGCTCTTTTACCTGAGAGAAGGAGAGTGAGCGAGAGGGAAAGAGAGCGAGAGAGGAAAGAAAGGTGACGGAAAGCTAGGTGAATGGAAAAGAAATCATCCAAATGAGGCAAAGAGGACGAAGTGTCGTAAAACAGTAAACAGATAAATAAAATCACACATGTATATGGTGAATAGAAGAAGAAATGAAAGACAATTAGGAACGAGAGCCTGTGATAAAAATAGAAAAAGGGACAAGGACACGTTTAAACCAACCAACCCAAGGAGGAAAAAAGAAATCCACTTACATTATCTTTTGCATTGTAGTAGGCAATTTCTACATCCTGCAAAGAAGCAAAACATTATTTTTGTTAGCCTTAGGATGTAATAGATGTAAAATTGATGATGGAAAGCTAAATTCATTTCCTGATTTTTTTTGTCAGTTGCGCACATTTTAATGTTAATAACGACAGTGGTCTGGACTTCTATCAAATTTACTATATTGGAGTTGAATTTTTCTGTTAGTGGTGCTTTGGCCCAGAGGCAATGTCTCTGTCATTGGTGTGGAACCCCAGGGTTCACCTCCTGGGCAAGTTCGAATCCCGGTTAGGGTGGTTAACACCTTCCAGTGAACTCACCACCCGCAGGAAGGTTTAGGAGGTTGGTAAGGTGCAGTGTGATTTGGGTGGCGACTGCTACCCCCGCGACCCGGTAACGGATAAGCGGATGAAAATGGATGGGTGGAATTTTTATTTTATTATTAGAGCCTCTGTTTGAGGTAACCCTTGACCACTGGCACAAGGAAAAAATTTCCAGCCATCCATTTTCATCCGCTTATCCGTTACCAGGTTGCGGGAGCAGCAGTGACCACCCAAAGCACATTGCACCATACCAACACCCCTAAACCTTCCTGTGGGTGGGGAGTCCACTGGAAGGTACCAACCACCCTAACCGGGATTTGAACTTGCCCAGAGGTGAACCCTGAGGTTCCACACCAATGACAGAGACATTGCCTCTGGGCCAAAGTGCCACGGGAAGAATTTCACTTCCCTTAATTAGACCATTCCAGGCTTAGATATCAAGTGTTGTTTTGGAAAAACCTAAAATCATACACACAGAGGCTACCATATTAAGCTTGCCCAGACTTTCTGATCAGTAAATAATTGCTAGTAAATCATAGCAAAAAAAAAAAAAAAAAAAAAGCCAAAAACTAAAGAAATTGGAAGAGGATATGTGTATATGTGTATTAATAAGGGATGCACCAACACATCAGTTGAACATCACACACAGTCCCGCACACATATCACACACACACACACTTCTTCCAAGCGAACCATTGTCTTGGGAAGTACATATATATGTACATATATATATATACAGTATATATATATATATGTACTTCCCAAGACAATGGCTATATATATATATATATATA